ATATCCGTTTATTTATATAATAAAGATAACTGGATGAAAAATTTTTCAAATTGAAATTAATAATCATCAATATAGTAATTTTTTTTCGTCATTTTCGTCATCAAATTTCGTCAAATTAGGGTTTTTCGAGACAAGTTAAAGATCCAATTATAAATATTAATAAATAAAAATTGAAACGAATATATTCCGAATCATTCTATATGCTGTTAATCTGTATGCTAATTAATTAAAAGATTTATTAATTAAAAGAAAAATAATGATCAAAGTAATTTTTATGTAATATTTATAAAAAGAGATATGAATTGATAAAAATTTAAAATAAAAAATGTCAAGTTTAAGAATGTAGATCCATGGGCGTATAATCAAATCACAATATCAAAATTCGTTCTACAACAAACAGTAGAATAAGCAGAAATGATTTTCGAATTTTATTATTTAGAAAACTTATAGTCAAAGAGACTATAGTTAAAAAAAGTACCATACAACCACATCTAAAATTATGATTAATAAATTATTAAGATATTAATTTTAATTATAAATTTGGCAAATTATAATTATTTTAATATATCTTTTTATTGTTAATTAAAGTTAACAATAACTAGTAACTCCAAATATATTTGTTAATAAAATTATGCGTACTGATTAATGTAAGTATTGTAGAAGTATTAAACAAAAAGTCATCAATTTTAATCACTATTTTTTTTCGAGAAATTTTGTTTTGTGCCGGATCATGAAATAGTATTAAAGGGTACGAATCATTAACATAATGCCTTGACGAATCTTTATTGATGGCATACTGATAATCAGACGTGAATAGTAGCTTATTAATGGAAATTTTGTAAAATCTGCGGTGAAAAGCAGTATTATCTCTGATTTCAAATATAATAGTCGATGAAATACATACAAAATATCCTGATATCAACCAAATAATAAATAAAGAAAGTCTATTAAAAATTATTAATTCTTTTGATTAATATTTATTTCAATATTGGTAGTTATTCACTTTTAAATAAAATTTTAATAAATTTGCAACAATTAATGGAAATTATATATATATATATATACATAATTCATAGTTAAAATGCATTAATCTATATATAATGAATTAATCTTAAAAATTATTAATAATTGTAAATTAATAATTGTTTTTTATTGCAATTGAAATAATGTAGTTTTTCATTTTCCTGCGAAACGTCGTTTTTGTTCAAAATAATGTAAAATCCATCGTTAAATTAGTGTTATTGTTGTATGCGTTAATTTATTATATAATGAGTGAATATATTAACCATGTATTAATTTCTATATATTTAGTTCTTCTTTAGAATTTCATGAAATGTACAATTTATATTTATATCTTTCAATCTGCAAATTATGCAAGAAATTGATAAATACGTAAATAGCTAAATATTCTAATCTAATTTTGTTTCATCTGTATTAAAAGTAATCGAAATTTGAATAAATCTCAATCAGCGCCTTTCAAGCTCATTATTCCCATTGAAAAATGGAATCATAACGACCGTATTTTCCGTATCAAAGACGTAATTACAACCGAACGCGAGAACGAAGAGTCAGCTTTTAACTAACTAACGTCGAACCATTAACCTTCAAGGGTTACAAGAAAACTAGGGAGTTGCGCTTCTTCCTTAGTATTCCGAGAAGGAAAATAGTAACCTAAGCTGGGAGACACTTGAAAACGTGAAAAAATCAGCGGCAGTCAACTTCAGAGTCCAATCTGAATAGGAAAATAACCATTTTTAAATTACAATCCTTCGGCCTCTTGCGTTCTCTCTTTCATTTATAATACTGTTTGTGAACTGCATATTCAATCGGATTTATATTCTTTTAAAGTAATATTAACTATAATAATTTAATATATAAAAATAAAGAGTAGGAGATATTTTAGTATTTACGTGTAGTTGAAGATTTTTTAGTTTATGGAAGTATTTCTTTAATTTATATACTATAAAAATAAATATAATGTTTACCATGATTTGGAGTAATTATTTATGGTGAAATATGTTTTGTCTTTATAATAAAATATCTCCATATGTGAAAAGTAAGCATTAATTGAAAAAATAACAAGATAAATAAATATATATATATATATTTTTTTTTGTTTAATTGTGTTTGAATATTTTAAATAAGTTTACAGTTATGCATAGATGTTCACATAAACTTTTCCTTTTTAATAATCTTAAATAATAAATAATAAATAAAATTAATAATAATATAATAATAATAATAACAATAGTAATACTAATAATTACTTAAAAATTTAGGATTTTAAAATAATCAGTAATATTATAAATTTAAATAAAAATTTTGCTACATAAGCAATCGTCTAATGGAACATATCATCATAAAAAAAAAGTGAACGAACAACGAATACATATTTTTATCAACGAAAATTACATTATGCTTTCTTCTAGTATTTCTGTCGTTCTATATTCACTTATAAAGTTAATTCTATCTTGAAAGATTTTTGTTTTTCATACGCGCGAGTGCTCATAAAATTCGTGTGCCACCTGTGTATTGGTTTGAATTTCCCTGATGCACCTCACTTTAAGTACACGATCTTCTCGAGGATACTCGATGTATATAATTCAAAGAAGCAAAAGCCAGAAGGATAAAGAGAGAGAGAGAGAGAGAGAGTGTGAATAACAAATGACCAAGTGCAATACAATATTGAAAAGGCACCTCAATTACTATAAATACCGTGCTATTTTGTACATAAAATGTAATATTTCATTGCAAAACTTCGATTATAAATAATACAATACTAAATAAATACTATATAAAATAATTATTTCATATATAGTCATTTATAACATAATTGATTAGAATATGTAATACTGATTTTGCTAAATAATTTTCATATATAATATACAATAAAATATTAATTATCATCTATTACGGAATATTTAATTATGACGTAACTATATTCAAAATTATAGTCCAAATTTAGTATATGTCATATTTAAGCAAGTTTTATTCTGATATGAGCATTTATGTAAGTTGCTTTATACTCATATGGACAAAATAAAGTTATTTTTACAATATTTAAGGTATGTTTCTATGGTGTTTCACCAACAGTTGTAACAAAAATAAACCAAATAGTTTGGACAAATATCTTCTGTTCATGATTAGTTATTATGAATTCTAGAATAAATTTCCATAAATTCAGAAGGATGCACTGATTGAAACAAATAAATTAATAAATACAATTTAAGAAAAACAAAGAAAATTACTAAAGCAAGCTCATTTTGAATTTATATATAATATGAGCTTTGAACTGTTATACCTAAATAATTATGCCAATTGCAATTAATGATAGTTAATCGGATAGTTTAGATATTTGGAAAAACTATATAAAGTATACGCATTACAAAATATTATTTCAATTTAAAAAAGAATTTGGTATATTGTTTAAAATATTATTTATAAATTAATTGTCACTTATTTATGTTAAATAAGTTACATTATCTACATATTGCATATATATTTTGTTTAAATGAAAGTCACTTTTTAATAATATAAAAATTTATTCAGCCAACAAATACAATAAAGTTTTTCCTTTGAAGAAAAATTGCTTTATTGTAAAGAATGTTATTCTTAGAAAAACTCATAAAATTTATACTTGGATTTAAACTTCAAAGAAACTTAATACAAATAAATTTATTCTGATTTAAGAAAAGACCCAACAAGTAATTAATGAAATAATTTAAAACATTTTTTTTCATTAAATTTATAAAAATCTTTTTTAAAGTTTATTACAATTTATATTGAATAATTAATACATGTTTTACTTATTGTAAGATGTACGTTTTATATTATAATGATTCAGAAAAACGACCATCACAATAATGTCGATAATGTACATTCTAGTAGTACCGAAACATGCACTTATTAATATTATTTTAAATTGTAAAATTCATACAAAAATTACAATTCTATTGTATTAAAAAAAAAATTAAAATACAGGAATTCTTTTTATTGATTTTTAGTACTTGAATATAGTTATGTTTACTTCATTCAATTAGTTTAGTTTGCTGAATTATTCCATTTAAACCTGTGTACTATTATACAATTATTTCATCTTCATTAGTTCTTTTTTATTTGAACTGAATAATTAATTTTTAATATAATACACAAGTAATATAATACGAATTCTATTCGCATTCTAATGATACATTTTTACTAATTTTAAAAAATTCAGTTGCTTTAAACGTTGCATTCAATTGGTTGTTTCAAAATTAAATTGTTATTGCTTAATTGTGAAATATAATTTTTATAGATTTTATAAATTCTATTTGTAATCTCAACAATCTATAGACATAAGTTATACACAACTTATGCCATACAGAAAAATAGATTAATACATTGATATTCAATATGTTCAATATTCAATAGACAATGAAGTTAGTATGGCTTTTTAAAATAATTCCTTAAATTGATTAAAAGTTGATTAAACCAACAATGAATATTGTTAAAGAAAATTATAATTAATTTGAACACATTTTTAGTTGATGTAATATTTATTGGAGTTTCTTATTTTTTATTCTTTTATATATCTTGTATTTTATTATTTTCATGGATTAGCAACTATTTCTTGGCAATATGACGGACTGTGATTTTAGGATTATTTTTTAAAATACCTAATTTCCAACGGTATTCCGTTGGTAGTTGTATATTGATGATTCCACCTATTGATTAAATAGTGAAAGAAAAACATTTTAAAAACTATTTTACAATGATATATTATAAAATAAATTGAATGCAATAACTTATGATTGAAAAGTTTTACTTTCAAATATTTCATATTCTCAGTTTAAAATGAATTTATGAGATATAGATATATTTGAAAAGCACATTTGTGAACACTAAAGTGGAAAGGCTGTTTTATGATAATTGTGGAGTAATTCACCGTTTTTTGTTATATGAGACAAAAAATATTTTCAATTAGTTAGAAAATAAGAAGTAATTAGCAAGTAAAATTTTACCTTGTTGCCTCAATAGGAGCAGTATCGACAGTAACAGCATCATTGGTGTGGTCACGAAATCCATTACTGGTATGTTAACAATTCCTTCAAATCTTTATTTACGTAATACTGTCTGCAGCTCAGCCGTTATACTTTTCAATATGTCTTGGCCTTTGCTGCAGTAATATTCTTCTTTTAATAATTTTTTTAAGCTTAGTTGTGAACAACGTAGTCCTATTTGAGTCAAATAAAGAAAGCAAAATTCAGTTTTTATTTTCATTACTCGATGCTTTATTTTTGAAAGTCTTATTACATCTATTTTATAGAAATTATAAATAAATACATGTAGTATATTAAAACTTCTTTGGTGAAAATATCAATAGATTGGGGAGATAATATTTTTATTCAAATACAGTTTATTATTTGAAATTACATTTCATAGAATTAATTAAAACAATAAATAAGTTAATGAAAATGTTATTGAATAACTGATGAGCTTATTGCTCGCAATGATGACGATCGAATACCGACTCCAAGAATTCCGAATGTTACTACTAAGCTATGCTATATCTTGATGCTAAAATTTTTATTTATCCAATTAATAATCGGTATATATTATTTTAATTTTTTTTTAGTTAAAATATATACATTTTAAAATTGTTGATATTAAATATACAGTTTCAAGAGTTTAGCTGTGCAACAGTACTTTGTCCAGTAAATAAACTAAAAAAAGATAATATAAAAATGGTTTTATATTTCGTTAATGTTTGGCTAGATAAATGGTCAAATAGTTAGTGTAAGCAAGAAGTTCTTTTTACTACATCATTAAAGCTGAGAAAGCTGAGAAATACAGCTTTCCTCGTAAGAAGTTCTTTTTATACCAATTTGCAGGCCGCCTTATTCGTCTGCATCATAGGAAATGTAAAAGTATAACTATAAAATTGCCAAAGTGTCAATGAACTTCAGAGTGCTAACACACATTCATTTTCAACCGACTTGAAAAATTTTCTCTAACAATTTTTGATACGCAAGATGAAAGTTTCCGCACGTTCCTGCGTTTACACGAGCGTTTTACATGTGTAGCACGTATATCTGTTATGCCAGTGTCAATTAGATTTAGTCGAAGGCGTCTACGACGATGTCTTTTCGATAACCGAAGGGTGACAGGCGTAAAAATGCTCGTCTTTCCGATTCGGTGAGGACATCACATCTAACTAGAAAACCCTTACACGACCGTGAAAATTTCGAAATGTTCCGTCGTACAAAACGTCAGCTTGCGAAGAACGAACGTCTCGGTACTTGCGCTGCTTACGGGTCCCTCTTCGCTCATTAACTATTGTAATTTGCGCCGTGAAAATTGTTTTAAAATTGCACCATTAGCCGAAAGCAGTTACTTAAATTTCTTATTTAAAGGTAACTTGGAAAGTGTTGGCTAAATCCTACTCGTATAAAGTATTTATTTTTAAATATTTGGCTGTTGTAATTTCTTAATTATTTGTCAATAATCAAGTCATTGATCATATATAAATATAAAATATAGATATCAAAAATTAATCACAATCTTTATTAATATTTAATGAAATGTGAAAATAATATAATTGCTTCAAAACTAAAGTAAAGTTTATAAGTAAATCTGATAAGTTACTAACTAATTTACAGGTGCTCTAATTAATGCATGGAACACTAATTATTGATAATTGAATAAATTGATTACCTATAAATTGATTATCTATAAATTCAAGATTCGTTATCAAATACTTGTGAATGAGATGAATTTACAATGATTTAACTTCATAATAAGAATTTCTGGGTATAAAAATATTTAAGAAATTTATAAGTAAGTCGTTATCGTTATCGTGATCCATTAATTGTCGTGTACATTGGTAATATTTTTATCTTGTTTATATTATGAAAAAAGAAAAATAAAAATAAAAATGTTAATAGCAATAATATTAAAAGCATTGCTTAACATTATTATTACATAATCTAATCGAGTTTTCTCAAATTTTTGAGAGTCAGAGACGCAGCAACGTACAATCAAAAAAGCTGATTACGTAAGAGGCACATTGTCCCGTAAAACTGTCACTCGTAGGTGTTGCCAAGACATATGAAATTTTAATAACTTCCTTTGCAAAAACACGTAGATTTAAAATTATAAAATATATTTACAATCAGATTAAATATATGCAATTTCAATTTATATTCTAAATCATAAGTTCTCAATTGAATATATCGAAAGTCCTATAATTAATAATTATAATTTTATATTTTTGCATGCAATACACATATCTAGTATTATGAATAATGAATATAATTTCCTAAGAAACATTTGACGTTTATATTAGCAGTATGATATCTGTATATTTTACTCAAAAAATTTCCCTTGCTAACAACTGTTGGTAAGATTAGTTGATTGATGATTTCATTTATAAAATATGTATTGGTGTTTTAAATAAACTATTATAAAATAATAAAATTCAACTTCATTGCAAATAGCAATTGTTTATAAAAATTATTATAATTGTATTATTTCGTTATAAGATACGAATTTCTTCTCTATTATGCTTGTAATAATCTTAATGTTCTATCAAATAATAGATAAGTAGAAACATTAGTATACACTTATTTAAGTAAGTAAGCAAGAAACATTTATTTGCCGAGATTTACCTATAACTATACATATTTTTATTAAATAATTATTTAATAAATATTAAAAATACCATAAACGTTTTTCATTTTGGGTAAACTTTTGTGTATTGATTGTATTCATTAATATTCTTTACCAATAATTGTAAGGAGGTCAGATTATTGGGTATTTTTTAACCATAACGATGTACTAAATAAATATTTTATAAGTTATAATTAATGAAATATTAAGATGTTTTAAATAATTTTATTAGAATAGAAAAATATTTTTTATATTAAATTTAATACACAAATTTTAATTTTTATGTGCACAATGTGTTTATAAAAGTTCATAAAAAATTTTTATTTTACTCTAATGCAACATATATGATAATAAAATAATACATTGTATTGAAAATTGAAAATATTTGATATTTTTATTAACTGTATTGTTATATTTCTATTTGTAAATTATAGATCAATTAAATTTACAATTTTTTCAAATTATTTTAATAATTAAACTTTTATATCGCAATTTTACTACATAACTTCCTAAATTTTGATAATAAAAGGATATTACGAAATTTTTTACTCACAATGTTTCATTACTGTAATAAAATAAAATACACTTAATATATTCTCTAATAAATGTTAATATTAATTAATGAACAGATATTATCTAGATATACATGATTGGAAAAATTGACTTTCAAATGATAGGAAAACGAAGAATGTCTTTATGTAAATATGTATTTTTTCCATGGACTTCAAACAAATATAAGTATATATGTAGCATATGTAATTATATTTATGTGCTTGTTTGAAGGTGTGTACATAGTAGTAAAGGGAAACTCAGTACTTCAAGGTTGTAAAAAGTAACATACGTATAATGAAGTATCAAACGTCAAAAGATGTTTCGATCGTATACGCAAATACACCCATATAAAAAAATACCATATTTCATGAGATATGTATAATCAGATAATAAAAATATTTATTATTAATAATAATTTGTACGATTGTAAGATATTAAAAAAAAAAATATATATATATATATATATTCATATTAAATATGTCCATGAAGTGAAAGATTTTGTGGAATTTATATATACTGAAATATAATAATAAAATGTTATTTACTATCTTGTAAATATTGTATAGTTTTAAAACTTAAAATATGTTTTTGGTTAATTGGTTATTTATAAGGATTAAATAAATTAAAAGCAATAATATTTACGAATTTAAAAGAAACACAATTTTTTATTTACGTCACATTTTATTAAAAATTTAGAGTTTTTGCGAATTTGTTTGAAAATAAAATGTTTCCAATATGCGTCATTAAAATGAAGGAAAAAATATTTTTCGAAGAAACGTATCTGCATAACACTTTATTTTAAAAATAAATAATGCATGTAATGATATATATATATATTTTTTTTACAATTTTAATATATTAATTTAAGTGGAATAGATAGAAAAAATTTGTCTTTATACTAAAAATCGATTTTCCGTTTGCTTCTTTTCTTTAGTCTGCAAATTTTTATCAGCAATTTATGTAAACTAACGATATTATTGTTAAAATAATGAATATGGTAATATATCAAGTTTAAAATGCTTTTTAGATTTGTATGATAATGCAATTTAATAAATATTCATATTTATATACTTGTAAATTATCAGTACTTAACCTTATTTCTTGTATCCCTATAATGTCGAATAATAAATAAATTTTCGAAAAATTAATTACTTCAGAATGCTTATATTTCTGAAGATGTTTTGAACTGTATTTGTTCATAAAATTATTTAATCAATATATCGAAATTAATTAATAATTATAGGTACTAGCTTTGTTAAAAATTTTATCATCAGAATAATAATAATATGATATATTCATTGATATAGGGAATTTAAAGTGTATGAATCAGGCATAACTTTAATATATTAATTTATAAATATAACAGCACTTTTACGTTATACTTTAGTGTATGCTAATGAATATCTAATCTGTTAAATAAATGAGCAAATAAATTTTATAAATTTTACTTTTAAAAATAAAATAAAACAAATCATATAATTTCTATAAAATCATTAAATAGAGATTGATCTTTGTTTGATCCATAATTTAAAACAGAAAACAATGTTTGTAAATAGATTTTAGTACTTGCATATAAAACAAATTATTATACTAGATATATATATATATATATATATATATATATATATATAAAGACAGTAAAATAAATAAATTTTATGTAAATATTTAGTTTTAATAAGTAGAATGTAACCTATATATACAAATATATCATATATTAAAATCAGGTTACTTTATGAAAATTTATGTAATACCAAAAACTTGCAAACATAATAAAAATACATATTTATAATACTTTAAGACTTTTTAGAAATTTAAAATAATTTGGATTTTTTAATTACTTTATCAGGTAAAAAAATGAAAGAATACAGCGATAAAATTATAAAAGAGGGAGGCTATTTTTAATAAATTTTTTAAATGAAAATTAGAAAATTATTAAATAAAAACAAAAGAGACTAAGAGCATTCCAATTTCGTCTGCCTTAAAACTATTAAATTGATATAGAAGTTTATACAA